TTTTATCTTGGAATAGTGACTTCAGAAAAAACTATTTGAGGCAGAAAAATTATGAACAGAAAGCTATATTTTTAGGTAAGAGAAATATAAACACATTTGAAAATAGATGTGAACTTGTAAAATCTGAAAATGAAAAAAATAGGAAGTGTAGATTCTGGTGTTAAAATTAGTGGTGATAGGGAACCAGCAGTTAGCGTAATGGCTATGTCGCTGGACTCCCACGTAGTCGACCGCGGTTCGCGTCCTGGACCCGGTGGCTTAAAACTCACGCCGGGCACGTGTGTGTGCCTGCCCAAGATCCCGAGAGGCGAATGGAGGAGAAGGGACTGCGGTGTGACCATCCCCCCTGGGGGGTGATTTCTCGCTTTCTGTCTCTCTGTCTCTCTCTGTCTGTCTGGCGAGCGTACACGCCCTATAGCAAAAACCTCTCCAAAAAAGGAAAAAGAAAAAAAAATTAGTGGTGATAAGGACCTACTTTATAGTGTCTGTGGTTTATATTTTCTCAGAGCCAGCAGGTGTCATGGTGGTTATGAGCGCTGAACTCCCACATGACTGACTGCAGTTTGAGTCCTGAACCTGGCAGCTTGTTTTCTCACTTTCCGCTCACTTGTGCTTGCTTGCTTGTTCTCCCCTCCCCCCCATTAAAATAAATAAATAAATCTTTTTTTTTTTTTTTTAAAGACATTTTCTCATGTTACTGGTTTTGAGCCTCACAACATGTAGGAAGTGGGTATGGCCACTTCCCTGATGAGAACAGTGAGATTCAGAGTGGATCAATACGATAAGGAGTCCAGAATAAATTCAGCATGGAGAACCTCCTGTCTTCTGAGATGGTAGAGGAGGCTGAGGAGACGATTATAAGAGGCACTGATGGTTTGAAGTTATAATGATGTTAATTGGGGAGCTAGTCAGTTTATAGGCAGCTCCTCGGTGTATGTGCCCCCAAACATAGCCCCCAAGGGTGTGAACAGCTTAAAAGAGGCTGGCGGGAAGTGACCAGACAACTTCCTTTTACCTTTCTGCATGCGGTTAACCTTGCACAATGGTGTAATAGTGAGGGTTCCATGGAAGTGTTAGTGGGAAAACTATCATTCTCTACCTAAGGGGTGTGAGGCCTGCTCTTATCTCTACTCCAAATGTAGCCACGATAGTCTTCCAGTATTTCAGTCTGTGAGATGTAAAGTGTTAAGAAATGAGGTCTTTCTGCTCTCCAGTCCTTATACTACTGGTATTGGGTAAGGTATGCCCTGTTGCTGATGAATGATTTAATGTGGATTGCATGAATATGAATAGACCCTTCATTTAAAGTGCCCCACTAGCATTTGGTTTGGTCATTCCGGAGTAAGAATTAGCTTAAAGGTAATCATCTAGTCCAGGTTTCAGCAGATGGCATAATGGTTATGATGCTGAACTCACACATGGTTGACTGTGGTTTGAGTCCCGGACTCTGGCTTAAAAATCATGCCAGGTACATGTGTGTGTGTGTGTGTGCCTAAAGTCCCAGGAGGAGGGGGATTGTGGCATGGCCATCCTCCTGGGATTGGGTGGGGAGTGATTTCTCACTTTCGTCTCTCTCTGTCTCTCCAGCAAGTGCACGCACTCTATAGCAAAAATCTCTTTAAAAAAAAAAAAGAAAGAAAAAGAAAATCATGTAGCTCAAATCTCAGTGTTCGATGAGCAACCATAGAAGTAAAAAAAAAACATTTCCATTTCACAGTCCTCTGTATCACTGTATCCCAAAATGGCGCAATCATGATGACGGTTTCCACAGAGGGTCCTGCCAGAATGAAAATTTTAGTGAAAGAAGGCTCAGTGCATTAGGGCAGGAGAGATGAGGAAAGCTTGATGTAGTTAAGGATTTCAGACCAAAGGGGACTTTTCAAGGGTATGGTCACTACAATGGCATTTTAGAAAATAATATGAAAAGACAGTTGGGAAGCCTTTGGAAGAAATAACATCACAGTGGATTAATGGATGGAAAGAAAGAAAGAAAGTCTGTTCATTCATCCAGAACTGGGTCGAGTTTTAGAACCTTGGTAGGAGCAAAGTCCAGGTTGAGCACTTAAAAGAGCAGTTAATGAATATTTGGGTGTCTTTTTTCAACAGTCAGTAAACATGGAATTGCCAGTGCTCCCTGGCATTATCTGAAAAGTGAAGGAGGTTTGGGAACCAGCAGTTAGCACAATGGCTATGTCACTGGACTCCCACATAGTCGACCGCGGTTCGCGTCCCGGACCCGGTGGCTTAAAACTCATAACGGGCACGTGTGCGTGCATGCCCGCCCAAGATCCCGAGAGGAGAATGGAGGAGAAGGGACTGCAGCGTGACCATCTCCCCTGGGGGGTGATTTCTCGCTTTCTGTCTCTATGTCTCTCTCTGTCCGTCTGGCGAGCGCACACGCCCTATAGCAAAAATCTCTCCAAAAAAAAAAAGTGAAGGAGGTTTGAATGACTAGTCAGCTTGGGATCTTTAAGACGTATGCAAACCTTGAGAAACTGGATTACCTGCCACAGATACAGTATGGAAATGACAGTGACTCTGCTAGGGGTGTTGCCACTCCCTGGCTGCCCATAGGACCTACAGAGGCTCAGGGGTCTTCAAGCTGAGTTCCAAGCAAGCCATAGGCTTGGCTTGTTCACTGTCAGGGTAAAGTCTGCGGTAGCCAAGCTCGTGCAGCTGCCCTGTCTGTCTCCACAGCAGTTGCCAACTGGGAGTAGTTTCTGGCTCTTTCCCAGGGCGTTTCAGGTCAGACTAGAAGCTTGACATTCTAGGGCATAGTCACAGTTGGGCAGCAGCATAGAGATTGTTTTGAAAGTTAAGGGGGTGTGGAGCACTATCTGCCCCCCTCACCCACTTCTAGCCCCTTCCATCTGCTTCCTGTTCCCTCCCTTTAGCCCAGCTGCCACCTAAGATAAAGTGGCTGCCCTGCCTGAGCCTTGGGGCATGGGAGGGGAAGGAGGTGGAAGGAGGCAGTACTGATCTTGTCCTGAGTGGTTCAGCCCTTGGGTGTGCCTGGGTTATGCGGATTTGCTGTGTTTCCACCCTCCTTTCCCAGATGCCCATCTACCTTGGGAATCAAAGTGTGGTTTGAAGTCTCTGGTGGGAAGGGTTACCTTCCGGTAGAGCGGCTTGGACGCTATAGTCCACCCACCCAGTGTTGACGCCTGTGTTGTGTTGGGGCCACTGTTAATTCAAATCAGTTTAATTTATGAATGCAAAATTATCAAAACTCTCTTAATCTATAACAATCAAGCATTGGTATTTGCCCCTACAGTTCACTAGAGCAACTAAGAAACATGCAAACTGACCTACAGTCATCTTCTCAAACATCTACCAGTTTCAAGAGCAAGCAAGGGTGGGTGTCTGTCTTTGCTTGAAGACACCTCCAATCAGAGAGCATGTGCACTTGCCAGACAGAGACAGAGGGGGCAGGAGAAAGTACTCTACAGTGGGGTGTGGTAACATCACAGTCCCTCTCTTCCACTTATTCATCCTGTTGGGATTTTGGACATGCACGCATATATACCTGGTGTTTTTCAGACGATCACAGCTGGGATTTGAACCACAGTTGGTCATGTGAGATCTGGTTCCCTTAACCACAAGCTGCAAAGGTGACCCTGTCATTTTATTTTTGTAAGACTCTTACCATTATCTGCAGATTTCCACACCTAGGGAAAATAGGTTTATATATAGGTTTAAGTACTTGGACAGTTAACAAAAGAGAGCAAAACATTGAGTTACTGTACTATGGGTTGCACATTGTTAACTCTATAAGAAGCGTATTGTCATGTTTGCTTTGTGTGTTATTTCATCCCCCAAAAGATGCTGATTTTGAAATGTGAGAGTGGTGTTAGAATGATGTGGATATCAGTTATTTGCTGACCATAACTACGTACCCTTAGACTTTTAGATACTAGGTTTGCCTCCAGCTCAACATTTAAATCAAACCTCAAAATCCAGTTCTCTTAAATGTAAAAAGCCAGGTGACCATCTTTCGGGAGAACCTGAAAAAGGCGAGGCTTCTCAGTATTACTGTGAGGTTTTTTTCATCTCTGCGTGGACAACAGTGTATTACTGTGTCTATCTCTCAGGACACACTTCACTGGGATTTTAAATCCTTGTTTCAACATGGATTCTCAATGATGGGCCTTCAAGTTGAAATCCTGGATTGGAATTCATTTCTGTGGGATGCGGGCAAGGTTTCCACCGAAGTCGTCATGCCCCTGTCTTGTTTAATGAGAGCTACGATAGCAGTATTAGTCCCACTCTTAAGTATCTTGTGTGCCTGCCATCACGCAATTGGGTTTTGCTTTATTTCAGCTTGCGGTGGGCACTGGCCACACTGCTCTCTAAGGGTGAGAAGAGAAAGAGGCCTCCCTTACCCAAATAGGTGTCTGCACTGCCTGTTTTCACATGACAAGGAATTAGGAGTTGCTCTCAGATAACACTGGGCTCTTCTAGTTCAGGCCATATATTTCACCCTTTGCACTTGGAGCTTCTCTCTCTCTCTCTCTTTTTTTTTTTTTAACTTGTTGCAGCCTCTTAATTAGAATGTATTGTTAGAGGACAGGCAGCACTGTCAAACTTTGTGCATCTTATAAAAATTGCGGTGGGCACTGGCCACACTGCTCTCTAAGGGTGAGAAGAGAAAGAGGCCTCCCTTACCCAAATAGGTGTCTGCACTGCCTGTTTTCACATGACAAGGAATTAGGAGTTGCTCTCAGATAACACTGGGCTCTTCTAGTTCAGGCCATATATTTCACCCTTTGCACTTGGAGCTTCTCTCTCTCTCTCTCTCTCTCTCTTTTTTTTTTTTTAACTTGTTGCAGCCTCTTAATTAGAATGTATTGTTAGAGGACAGGCAGCACTGTCAAACTTTGTGCATCTTATAAAAATACACACAAGCATCAGACTAGCAGCTGTAGTGCAGACTCATCCAGATGCGGTACTGCAGTTCCCCAGAGGGGCATCTTCATTGTTTTCTTTCTTTGTTCCAGAAGCAAAGGCCGATAATGAACCGAGCTGTTCGCCGGCAGCTCAAGAACTGTTGACAAGGCTGGGATTTTTACTGGGAGAAGGGATCCCAAGTGCCACACACATAACCATTGAAGACAAAAATGAAACCATGGTAATGCCCGAGGAAGACACTGCATTTCATACCTGCTCAGAGGATGAATGAAGCGATAACCATCTTCTCCCTCTCCTTGAGCGGAGAAGTCATTGTTCGGTCAAATGAGTCCTGGGCTGTTGTGTATTGAAATTTATTTCAACAGTTTGTTTCTGAATTTTTGCAGTGGGCGGGGGTGGGTGGGGAAAAGCAGAAGGGAGGTGAATTTAAGAAAATGTCCACATTAACCTTCTAGTCACCATCCGGAGAACAGTGGCTAAATGAATTAAAGTGGCTAAAAGAATTCCTTCATAATGATACCATTTTTATCTTTATAGCACCATTCTTCTCATCTGGCTGCTTTGGTATTTGCTTTCCTAGCTGTTGAGATTTTGGAGGGTCAGTGGGGTGAGGAAAAGATTTATAGGAGATGAGGCAGAGACAAAATAAGATGAGATCAATGGTTCATCTTCCGGGAGGGCACTCCCTCGTCCGGGGAGCAGGGAGCAGCAGCATGCACCTGCCACTTCAGAGCTGTGTGTGTTGGATAGCAATAAGGGGCTGGAGCTCCTGTCCCTGAGGGGGTCTCTGCGAGGGAGGGTGTTGTGCATTGATTGAGACCGCAGTGGTCACCAGTCTCCTTCCCCTGATCGCAGAGCCCATAAATCTTTAGGAATTGAATCAGGTTGCAGTGCTCGTGAAACATTGCAGAAACAGTTCCCAGGTTTTCCGTTCAGAGGTCAAATAACCCATTTGTCTTGTGCATACTTTAAATGAAAGGAAGTCTGCCTGTTTACCATTTCTGTTTTACTAATGTGCATTCCCACTAAATTATTGCTAAGATTGTCCTTTGAATAAAAAAGAAAATCACAAAAGAGGGAAACAGAACAAAGATATTTCTCCCTTAAAACATAGAAGACTATGTATTTATCTACACACACACACACATAGACACATACACCTCCCTAGATTTTAAAAACCGTCTCCCATTTTCCTGTTTTTAGTTTTGTTTTAGCATCAAAGACCAAACTGCGTCGAAGCATCCCGGGTAAGCCGTGCTAACTCCTCCTTCCGTTCGTCTTGCAGTGCACAGCTCTGAGCCAAGGCATCAGTCCTTGCTCCACACTAACAAGCAGCACCGCATCTCCTAGCACCGATAGCCCCTGCTCAACCTTGAATAGCTGTGTCAGCAAGACGGCAGCCAACAAAAGTCCCTGTGAGACCATTAGCAGCCCTAGTTCCACCCTGGAAAGCAAGGACAGTGGAATTATAGGTAAGAAGCACACTGCCCGGTAATGTGATGGCTCGATGCACGTCTACCAGAGCATTCACCAGGCACTTCTTATGAGGGTTTTAGCGGGTCTGTGAAGGTCAAGTGGCCAGGATCTGCCCTGTTCTTTGCAGATGGCACTGACTCCATGTACAGCTGAGAGAGTGAAGCAGCAACTTTTACATTCCTTGATGTTTATTTTATGTCACTGGGCTCATTTGGTTTAAAAAAAAAATTCCGGTTGAGATCTGGGCTGTGAAGTTACAAAAATCTTCCCTCCCTAACATCAGTTCCACTTGCTGGGCACCAGGTTGCCTTAGGGCACATTGCAGGGCAATGAAATCCCTGCATGTTAAGAAGTCTTCCCAGCCTAGGCTCAAGGTCAGTTGTTTCTCCAACAACAGTTTTAGTTTTGTGCTCTTTCTAGTTTCTTATAATGGGATCCTGTTTCGAGGCCAGGATTTTCTAAGGATGCCCTCTCCAGTCCCCACACCTCCACTTCCACACAGTAGGTGTGATCACTCTGAGCTGATGGCGGGAGACCTGATCCTCAGATTGATTTTCCAGGTGACTCAAGCAACATTTAATGGCCTTGTGCACATTCCTTTCCTTCTCTGGACAGTAGGTGATTTTGATTAAGTTGGTAGTTTGTAGTTCCAGGTTCGTATTAGAATCATCTGGGGGTATTTTAGAGCCCTTATATTTATGTCCCGTCTCACACAGACTGCACTTGTTTATCTGTAGGTGGGCTCAGGCATCTGTGTGACTCAGGTCTCCAGCTTGGTACCTTTCAGATAACAAACATGTAGGACCCCTGGAGAGGACTGTTCAGACCTCCCTCTGCTCTAAGGAGAGCTGACAGTAGAGCTCTTCTCTGCAGTTCACCTCCATCCCTTTTTCTGAATTAGACACATGGCTTTGAGGGATAGTTTGTTTTATTGACTGCATGCCACTTCCACGTTAATATGCAGTCAGATGGAATGACATGTGAGCTCATTTTCTTTGATCACTTGTAATGCCTTTCAAGTTTAATTTGTAAAACTAAGTTGCTGGTTCACCCAGTGTGTTCTTTACAGATTACTCAAGAAGGTCTGTGAGATTTCTGGAAGTGGGTTGTGGATTCTTGGACATAGACCTTACCATGAGACCTTCAGGTTAAGGAAGGCTGCCTCTTATCTCATTTTTTATTTGGATCAAAATCTTCATGGATTTTTGCTTCATTTTGATTTACTTACTTACTGTAATATCTACCCATTTAAACCATTGGATATATTCCATCTCAGTGTATTCAAAGTTGTGCAACTGGGCCAGCTAGCGGAGTGGTGGTGAAGGTGGCCAGGCTCCCCATGGCCCACTGCTCAATTCAAGTCCCAGACCTGGTGACTTCAAAAACATGCAGGATACATGTGTCTGCATGCCCAAAATACCAAAAGGAGGAAGGACTGGAGAAGGGATTGCACTTTGGCCATCCCCCATGGGAGGGGGTGTGCTTTCTCTCTCTCTCTTTCTCTCTCAAAAGGTATACACACCTTTGGCAAATTAAAAAGCAAAAAAGAAAACAAAGTTATACAACTACCATCACAATCCGATTTGAGAACATATTATCATGACAAAAACCTGTACCCTATGGAAGTCACTCTCCATTTCCCCCCAAGCTCCCCAGTCCTAGTCTGATAATCTACTTTCTGTCTCTGGGATTATTTTATTCTGGACCCTTCATGTAAATGATAGGCTGAGGTTTCTGTAGCAAATTTAAATTCTTTTCACTCCGTTTAAGGGCTTCCAGTAAGCTTATTCTGCTAATTCTCCCTTCCTATTTTACCCTGCTTCCCCAGCTGCGGTTTAGTCTAGTTCACTATATTTTCTCTAATGTTCCTTCTGTTCTCATGCCCTGTCTCTCTCTGAGCTGTCCACCACTGATAATCTTTGGGGTGTATCCTGTGATTGCCAAATGACTTTCTTCACAGCATTCTTAGCTATTCTGAAAATTCTCCTCCCCCAGAGAGTTTATCTTCTTCAAGGAGTCAGCCAGTGCTACGTCTTTGGACATTTCCTATTTATTGCGTGTTCTGGCCACTGATGGTCCATGCCTCTGTTTAATCAAATCAGCATTTTGTTTTGACAGTTACAAACTTTTTCAATAACAAAGAACCATCCATTTCTCTCCATCTCTGTCTCTCTACAATTGAGTTACAATTCTGCAATTTTACAAGTATTCTGAATGGAAAGAAGAGGCACTGGCTTGGTTCCCTGTGTTGTCAAGGGAAGATGGAACTGCAAGATATTTAATAGAGTTCTACCCAGCCCCAGACCAATTAGTTGTCCTAGTGTATGCCCCCATTGCAACTTGGTATTTTTCTTGGTAATTGTTTTTGTTTTTTTATTTAATTTTGTTTCCATATGGACAGGGGTCTCATGCTATTCCAGACATTTTCTTGGTTCCTGGAACAGTATTGGAATGAGAAAGTAGGAAAAGAGAATCTTTGCTTCTATCAAGCTGCATGGAGATTGGGAACATTTAGTTGGTTTATAAAGAAGCCGTGCAGGATTCCCAGTCCAAATTGGCTTGGCCAAACCTTTTTAACTGTCTGTGTTTCAAGCTCTGCCTTTGTGGTAAAGTAGTACATTTCATGCCACTGAGGCTGCCTTTGTTCCTCAGCTCAGGCCAATGTGGTCCCTTAACTCAGTTAAACATGGAAAGGGGCGACTGTTGAGAGGAAAGCAGGAAGAATTAGGAAGTGGTTGGTAAGTCTTGCTTTCACAGAAGACCGCAGCTTCTGAAGTTTGTGATGTGGCCTTAGCTGTTCCCCTGCAGGGTGTGAGGCCTGTAGGCAGACGACAGGGAAGCACTGTGCTGGTGACAGTGTTCCTCTGTTCTCTCTCCTTACGTGACCTGGAGAAGTAGAACCTTCTGCCAAGGGACACACTAGAAGTGTGGTAGGGAGGAGAAGGTAAAGAAGAATTTCCTCCCTGAGCAGACTGCAGCCACAGGTCTTTGAAGAGGCAGGAGTGGAGGAGCCAGAGAGTGAAAGAGCCCCCTTTTATGTCAGTATAGGGTGTGCAGGTTCTGTTGCCTCTTAATGGAGTCGGCATCTGTGACTCAGTTGTGGTTCTGTGATTGCTGGGATGGAGGTAGACCTTTTTCCATCTGAAGAATATGCCAGTTTTTATAAGGTGTAGCCTGGGAATGGTCCCTTCAGGCATCATAGATGTTTACCAGAGTGATATAGTGAAGAGCACTGTGATTCTAGTGGGCAGAGATGAAAGAGGGATGCCTTGGCTTCCTGCTTTGGAAGACCTGGCAGTGGCTTGTCAAATAGCCTGGTGAGGATCCAAATAACAGGGCCTGGAGGAAGAGGCTTTCCATTTAATTTTCCATTTTAAGTAGTTTCAGACACGTCAACCGCCAGTGCTGGGGTTGGACCGGCCCAGACTTTGGGAGTGGGTGGGGACACTGCGCACAGCTGCTGTGCCATTCCATGCTGTGGGGGGCGCTAGGCTCTAACCAGTGTTCCATGTGCTTTACTAGCACAGTTTATTCAGGGCATTTGGGCAAATTCAGATAGTGCTAGCCCATCCTTAGAAATTCCTAGACCTCCCCTTACTATTCAAGCTGATTTCTGACTTGCTGATTATATGCACTGTCAATATTTTTGCCCAGCAGATGTGAGGACAGGGAGCCTGTGTTCCCACATGCCCACATGCCTGGGCAGCGTTCTCAGGGCTACCAAGAGTGCCCAGCCTGTGTGCTGTTCCCACTGCTAAGAAGGAGAAAGGACAGATGAGTGCCCAGGAGAAGAATTCCTTGGGCCCGTCCAGTCTTTGTGGGAGCCAGGCCTTAGTAGCCCCTTCCTTGCACCCTGTTTCAACTTTAGGATGTTATCCAGATGGGGTCCCATTTTGTCCTATTGCAGGAAAACCAGGTCCTTATATAAATGTCTTTAGAAGTATAATAATTCTGTCATGTGGAGATCTAGCTAAGCTGGTGTGATTAACTGAATTCTCTTTGAATTTAAAAAAAAAATTAAGTAAAGTTCTTTACTCTTTACATTTAAAATCTTTGGCATAATGTAGAAGTTAGTTCTGTTTAAATTTGCCAACATGAAGCTCTTCTAAACCCAGCTGTACCCAATCACCATAAAATGACTCTCACTTGTTTTGAAAAATAAAAATTTTATAAAGAACTATGCTTTTAAAGATGTCCTTCCATGCCTAAGAAAACATTCTTTTTTTGGTGACACTCCTTTGAATATAACTTCCTTCCAACTGTTACGAATGGATATAGTAAGTCTTAGCAATCCTAGCTGAGAAAAAAACAAAGTATGTTTTACTTATTGGAATGTATACGAAAACCAATTTGATTTTTTTTTAAGTTGCTGAGTATAGTGGGTTTCAAAGCACTTTTTGAGTTAAATATATTTAATTTTTTTTATGTTCATGGTATGATAAATATTTTATGTGTATTTGTATTTATTTCAAGAAAATGGGCATTTTCTCCCTTTAGGAAGAAAGAAAGATAAGGAAAAACAAATAAAGCCTACCTTTTCTTTCAAGATTGGGGGAAAAAAAAAGCTTTCCTTGGCTGACTGGTGGCATATTGACAGTGCAATGCTTTACAAAGCTGAACCCACATGGGAAGGTGCCTGGTTCAAGTTCTGGGACCTCCCTTTTTATGCATGCCCACGATCTGGGTTGCCTGTGGCGGGGGGTCATGCCTTTAGAACCCTGTTGGGAGTGCCTGTCTCTCTGTCTGTATCTCTCTCATGGAAGAAACGAATAAATAAACTTGAAAAGAAACGCCTTCCTGTCCATTATAGATAGAAGTGCAATGAACTTACAGGTGTCAATTAGAAAGCTTCTGGGTGAAGAAGGGATCAATCATCCCTTCCATTTCCTCCTATCTGTTGAAATCATAATCTCCAACATTTGTAGTGTCCAGCATCTGCTTCCGGGGGATTTTTTAAAATAATTATTTAATTTTATTTATTCATTTATTTTAATTT